GAGGGGCAATCGGGGGTGGAGGGGGCGGGTATCAGGGGCCAGAGGGGTAGAGGTGAGATGGGGGCAGGGAGGGGGCTCCCAGGGTCAGGGGATGGGCAATTGGAAATGGATGGGGAGGTATTGGGGAGGAGGGGCCCCCATTGCCCCACCCCCTCTACTCTCTCTCCCCCCACAGAAAGTGCAGGCGAAGGCCCTAGAAGACGTCGTCATCCTCAACATCGACACCAACACTCTGGAGTCGCCCTTCCGGGACCTGGAGAAGCTGCCAGGGGACGTGGTAAGGCCCTATTGCACACATACCCACACCTGGGGCTGGGCTCTGCCTCCCTGCCCCAAGGCAGTAGCCCCCAGGGGACATAGAATGTGCAGCACAGAATCCCCTTAACTCTGCCCTTGCCTCTGCCCCAGAACAGGATGGGCTGCAGGGGACCTCTCTGCCCCAGGGGATGTTGGGATACAGAAACACTGCCTACCCAGAGCATGCTAGGATGTGTGGGGGTCACTCTTCCCCAGGGCATGCTGGGGGGTGGTCCCCTGCCCCAGGGCATGCTGGGATATGCCCCCCCCCCCGACCTAAGGCATGATGGGATAGGGGGACCCCCAAGCTTTGGGGCATGCTGGGATACACCTCCCATCCCAGGGTATGCTGGGGTAAAGGCGCTCCCTGTCCCAGGGCATGCTGGAATATAGTTCCCCCCAGCCCAGGGCATGCTGAGATATGAGGGGTCCTTGCCCCAGAACTTGCTGAGATATGGGTGCTCCCTCTTCCAGGGGATGATGGGATATGGAGGTACCTGTGCTGGGATACAGGGACTCTCCCACCCCACAGCATGCTGGGATATGAGCCTCTCCCTAGCCCAAAGTATGCTGGGATACAAGAGGTCCCTGACTACCTTCCCGGCAGGTGTCTCTGCTGAAGCTGCAGCTGCGCCGTTGGTCTTCCAGTCCCGGGGCCGGTGTTGCCCATGCCTTCCTGCAGGCCCAGGCCCTGCTGTTCGGCTCCTATCGCCAGGCCTTGCTCTACACCCCGGTGAGAGGGGTACAGCAGGGACATCTCTTCCTCATGGCTGGGGTGTAAGGTGGCACAGTGGGCACAGCCCCAGCCCCACACCAGGCACTGTATGTGCCAAAGAGTTGGCCCCAATGCCCCCACCCCTCCCTGTCCTTCTCTCTGGGCCAGCCCCGGAACTGGGGGGACATGGAACCCAGAGGGCCAGTGCGGGGGGGAGGTGCAGTGCTCTAACCACTAGGCTATGCTGCAGGGATGAGTTGGGGCAGCCCCAGGGTTGGTGTAGGAAGGGAACCTGGAAGTTGCATGGAACCCAGGCATCTGGGGTGGTGTGTGTGCTCTAACCACTAAGCTGTACTGCAGGGATAGGGTGAAATCGTGGCAGAGGTGCCTCTATGACCTCCGCCCCCCATGGCCTCTTCTCTGTGGGGCAGTCTCAGGCCTGGCAGGGGGGCAGGGAAGTCATGTGGAACCCAGGTGTCTGAGCTGGAAGGGCAGTGCTCTAACCACTAAGCAGTGGGGTGGAACCATGGGGGGGGTGTCTCATGGGTGCACCCTCTAAAGCCTTCCCCCCGCCCCCAGGGCCAGCCCATCTCCTTCTCACAGGAGGCCTTTCTGAGCCACAAGGCAGGACCCATGCGGGAGTTCCTGCACAGCGCCGTGCACCTGCAGCTCTTCAAGCAGGTACCCCGGGGTGGGGGGTGAAACCCAGGAGCCCGGGCCTGGCACCAATGTTCCCACACCCGTGGCCTCGTGTGTGCCTGCTCCAGTGGTTCCCCCTGTCTCTCCGTGGCTACCCCTTCCTAATGGTACCCCCCCCATGGCTGCCACTGTACTCCCCACCAGTGGACCCCCCAGCTGTGACTGCCTGTGTGCTCCCTTCTAATGGTTACTTCCTCTCTGTGTCCTTATGTGTGCCACCTGCTACTGGTTCCATCTCTCTCTGTGGCTGCCCGTGTGTCCCCTTTTAATGGTACCCCACCCCCACACGGCCTCATGTGTGCTTTTCCCCTCTCTATGGCTGCCAATGCACTCCTTGATGGTGGTTCTTCTTCCCACCTGTGGCTGGCTGCCTGTGTGCTCACTTCTAATGAGTCCCCGCTCTGTAGCTGTCCATGTGTCTCTTTCTAAAGGTTCCCCCTCTGTGGCAGCCTGTGTGCCCCTCCCTAATAGTCACCCCCCCACACACACACACCCCAGCCTCAGGCATGTCCTCTGCTAATGCTTCCCTGCGTCAGTGTAGCATTGTGTCTTCTCATGGTTTCCCCCTCTCCATGGCTGCCAATGGGCTCTTTGATGTTGGTTCCCCCATCTCATTGCACACTTCTAATGGTTTCCCCCTGTGTGTGGCCTTTTGGTTGCCCCTCTCAGGGTTCCTACTGCTAATGGTTCCTCCCCCATGCTGTGGCTCCCCATGTGTGCCTTTTAATGGTTTTCCCCTTGTCTTTGTGGCTTTACACGTGCCCCTCTAAGTGTTCCCCCTCTGTGTGGCTTTACGTGTACCCCTCTCTTAAGCGTTCCCCCCCC